GCTTGATGAAGTCCCTGCATGACCGCGGGACAGACGGTCAGCAGAGTCTCCCTGAGCCTAGCATGGCTCTCAGTTAATGATTTCTCTGAATTGTTGTGTTTCCATCACAGAAACGCCATACAGCATATATCTGTAATGAGATCGGTTCACAAGGTTAAACTTATTTCCAAGTTTCTCTAATCCACATGAGGTCAAAAATATACATACAAACTTAAATATATGTACATGCCCCATCTCGACCAGATGGTTTTGGTAGCCATCAGCAAGTTTCTGACATTATTTTGTCTCAATAGTTGTCCTGTTTTCTTGGCAGAACTGAAAGACTTCATTTAAACACAACAACATTCAACATCTGATCAAAAAGCTAAGAAGAAATGTCCTGCCTGAGGAATTTCAGTGTTTTCATTTGATGGATGTTTCTCTTCATCATCCAGCCAGGCAAGCTGGCTGTCTCATCCTAAGACAGCTGGGACAGGTTCCAACCCCCCCCCCGACCCTGAAAAGGATAAGTGGAAGAGAATGGATGGATGGATGGAAATAATTTGAATGTAAAACATCAGTAATGAGTGAGTCTGGATTTTGGGTCCTCCAGTCCTGCCCGTTTCACACAGTACAGGTCAATCAAGACAAGGAAGGCCTGTTTAGATGAGCACATTTCCCTTCCCACAGCTTCAGATACAAGTATTGTGCAATACTTATTATCCATAACAGACTTCAGGTGTTGTCATTTTGCCCCAGCTTAAGCTCCTCAAAAGAACTGGGTAAAACTATGAGTGCTTGAACAAAAAAATGAAACAATTGAAATGAAATAATTGCAGATGCAGTAGTTTTACCATAAGATCGTAAAATACTATTACAATCTATTTCCTCCTCATTTACACCTCATCTTGGTCACTCAAAACCCGCATAAGCCTCCAACTCCACAACCACCAGCATCTCGATTCTCAGGTTCCTGTACTAAATCCTATCACCATTGGGATTCTTGTTTGCTATGATCATGACTTAGGGTTTTACTCCTTTTTATCTCTCTCTTCCCTTGAAGAAATGTAATACTCTTAGTTCCAAACTTGCTGGAAGGGATATTTTGTTTATAGATGTTCTATTTACTGTTTATTTTGCAAGGGCCTTTCTTTGTGAAGTTTGCATTTCCACCTATGTCTGTGACATCAGTGACATACCTACATGTCCAACACGTTCGCACATTTTACGCTATGTGAAAAATAGTGAATATATTACGCTTCCAGGCACCCAACATGTCCCTATATTACGAGATCGGAAAAATGAGGAAACATGAGAACCGTTTGGAGTAAATCTACTCATGTACATACATTTTACTTACATCGCTTTGGAAAACACTATCTAACGTCATTAAAGTGCTGGTTAAGGTTAAGGATAAGGTTATGGTTTGGGATAAGGTTAGGGTTATTACCGCGGGAGTGTCATTCTACTGGATTTCATCCATAACCTTGCACGTAGCATAAGAACGCGAAAGGTGACCTTCTGCATTCCTCAGGAATTGACAAATTGTCAGCATATTGCGCCTCGGGCGTGAGATTGGGCTGACATGTCACACCATGTGGTGAACCCCCATCACACAGCCACTAAATTGTTATTAATCATGTTAAATTTCACCACAAGCGTATCAGAATGCATCAGTTTCCATTTCACTAGTTTGCTGACCACATCTTTTGAGCTCAACATAAAAGCTTTGCACGACATTGGGTTTCAGTGCATTCAACTCCTCATGAACGAGAGATAAGAAGAAATGTTCTG